CAAAAATTCGAAGTGGACGAGCGGCGGGGAATATACTGAGGCGGCCATTTTCTGTTTTGGACTGGTTTGAACGGTTACTTCGGTTTTGAAGAAGTGGATCACCGGGACACATCTGGAGGGCGCTTGGGTTTGGGCGAATCGCTATGCGGCATTTAGGGAAAAGATTGCGTACGTCAACCGGTCAACAGGAAATGGTCGCTCCCAGTAATATTTCGCCGGACTCGGGTCCACTTCGAATTGTGTAAGGACAGTCTTATTATTAGTTTATTAATACCAGGAGTATTGCGATACATTCTTGTAAAGTTCCCGAAACTCCTAGGTAGAAAGGAAAAGGTTCACCTTGTTTGGAATAAAAAAAGCCCCCAGTTTTTGGAAGAAGTTTAGTATTTTTGGGGAAAACGCCAAACCAGGGCCAAACCGGGCCGAGTTTGACTTTTCACTCGGCATTTCCTCCGCAGGAAATAAGGATAAGGGGACACTTCTGTACCCTATCTCCTGCTTGGGTTTGGAGTTACCAATATATTGTCAATTTTCGTAGCTTAACCTAGCATCACAAGAAACGGTCTTTTGTAGCTAGCACAGGCACTTGAAGCGTTTCCAATAAAATATAATGCTAAAACTAAATGACGAACGAATCTATTACTTACCAACTTTCTTAAATGGGTTCTATACCTCGCTTCACGCTATTTATTGCGGGGGGACAAGTTTTTCCTGTAAATTCGTTCCAACATCCGACGTGCAACGCTACCCAAAATCCTAAACGCTTTTGCCAAGCCGGCCATTGCTTTCACGGCTCCCCAACTTGGTTACACGTTACACTTGAATTAAGTAATGCAAATAAAGCGTCTTTATGTCCCCTGAACCTTTCTGTTTGACCTCGCTCGTTTAGCTATTTTTCTGACTAATATATATATTTATACATATTAATATAATAATTAATTATAGGGGGTTAAGGGTGTAGAGTTAGGGATTTAGGGGTTAGTGTTAGGGGTTAGTTCAAGAACAATAGCTGTAAACGAAGGCCAGGTTCAAACAGAGGGTCAAGGGGACATAGGGGGACCCTACGAGCAATTAGTAATAGAATTATTAGTAGGCAGCTTAAATATATTACGCTTATTTACTATATACTAAGTAGTGTAAAGCGTGCAAAGCAGTTGAACGCCGTTTTGAAAAAAGGGGCGAATGGCGGGCTGGACAGCGGGCAAGGATTTTCGGTAGGGGCGTTGCAACGCGAGGATTATTGGTAGGCGTTGCGCGTAGGATTTTGGACGGGAAAAATTTACAGGGGAAAAACTGTTCGGGGCCCAATAAAATAGGCTTGTTAAAAAAGAAGAGTAGGCCTATAGAAAACATTAAGGAAGGGTTGGGTAGGTTAAATAGAGTTTCGTATTAAAAGTTGAGTAGGATTATATTTTATTGAAACGCTTCAAGTTTGGACTCGTGTTCTGCGTAGGATTACTGTTACTTTTAGGAACTAAGAAGTAGGAAGGGACCAAAATTGCCACTGGTATTTAGGACTATAAATTATTATAGACCTGTATTTATGTTGTATAGACAATCGGGTCACACAGGCCTTGGGTCGGGCTTTAATCCTGGACCCCAGTCTTACAGTACTGCTGGAAAAACTAACAATATCTATCTTCTTAAGTCTTACCCCAGCTTACAAATATTGGGGATGTTGTTATTACTTACTTAGGTATTGTATCGCAAGTGGGACTACGGCGTTTTCCGGAACTTGGTTCGCCTAAGCCTCCAGGGGCTATTGGCATCCGGGGACATCCTGCTCCCACTCACACAGTGATTCGCGTGGGGGGGACTTCGCTACGACGACATGTATTGGCCGGCAACGGGACGCTCTTGCTGATTTGCCGGGAATATATGCCCAACTGCTGGCGTCTTATCTTTTTATCCATTGCTCTTTCTCGCTCTTCTTCTCTCCTCTCTCGCTCTCTTCTCTTTTCACACCACACACGCACGCCACAGCCTCATTCTCTCTCTCTCCTCTTCTCTCTTTTTTCACCACGAACATTGGCACAGCTTCTCTCTCTCTAATTTTCTTATCTTTTCTCTCCGTCTCTTTCTCTTGCTCTCTTTTCTCTCTCTTCTCTCTTACTCTCTCTCTCTTCTCTCTCCTCTCTCTTCTGTCTCTGTCTGCTGTCTCTGTCTCTGTCTCTGTCTCTGTCTCTGGGTCTCTTCGGTCTCTGGCCTGTTCATCTGGTCTTCTGTCTCTACTCCTCTCTCCTTCTCTTCTCTCTCTCTCTTCTTCTCTCTCATCCCACACACACACACACACACCTCTAGCTCTCTCTCTCACACACACACACACACTCAGCAATCAGCAGAGTGTACCGTTGCGCAATCATGCGTGTACGTGTCGCAAGATCACTGTGTGAGATGGATGTCCGGACGCGTAGCCTAGCGGCTCCTCGTCCGGAACCGGTCGCGTAGCCACGGCCTATTAGTAATAGTATTAGTAATAGTAATACTAGTAGCGATCTTCGCTGGAATGCCCATAAATTATATTTGTAAGTAAGCGTCTCGTTCCATTGGTATGTTACGGCGTAACTTTAGCTTTGGCGTTTCTAAAACTTGGTCCCTGGCTTTTAAAACTGGTGCCCAATATTAATTCATAAAACGCCCAAATTAGCAGAGCACTGAAAATTGTGAAAATTAAATCTCCATGTTTCTATCGTTATAGTGGTTCATTCTGTTACTTATCTGAAGTAAAAAGAAAACATATCCATGGATATATTGAAACAATTGTGTTATATATCAGGACGATATTAATTTTAATGTTATTACTACATCTATGGGCCCTATACCTAAAAAATATTTTCCGCTCGCCAATCGCCCCAAAAACTTTTTTACGCTCGCCATGGGTGCCCATATTTTAAGCAGCTAGATTAGTCCCTGGCCTACACACTTAATTCAGAACTCTAAATTGCCAATTGGATGCCACTCGGCATAAAGCTGCGAGATGGGTTTCCAAAAACTAACATGATAGTGTTGATGTTGTATTGGCTCGTCTGGATTGGCCTGGAGCCTCTTCGTGTCTGCTTTCTCCATGCTAAACTTATAACCTTCCATAAAATTTATCAGGGGTAGAAATTAGTTTGAAAGTTTACAGGCCAGCCGGGCCTGTAGGTAAGGGATTTTACAGGCCCGCCAGGCAAATTACAGGCCCGCATCATTCCCGATATACCGCTGCATTTAAAAAAATAAGACTGAAATTTGAAATTTTTACAATAGTTTGTTTACAGTAATATAAAGAACATATTCAGTGACTACTAATGAGCTGTTAGAATTCTCACTGTCCTCACTGGTGTCCTCCCTCTCGGTACTCATTTTTAACTGTTGGCTGGCCTACACTACAGCAATAGAATGTACACAAACTCTGCATGTTTACTCCATGTCTAAGTCATCTAAGGAAATGTCCACTGGGGCCGGATTCAAGAACAGTTCGTACGCACAATATCGTGCGTATCTACGTTCGTACGCACAAACAGGCATTTAGGTACGTCTCCATCATCATCATACACGCGCACACGTTCACACACACCCACACTGGTCATTTTTCTGTGTGGATCATACACCTTGAATGATAAAGCTAATGTTTGGGACATATAGGGCAGAGAAAAACAATGCTCCGTAGGGTCGGTTAGTTGATTCCATGGCAAGAGCAAATGAAAACGTTGAGTAATGTAAACATCTAAGGAATCAGCCTAATCAGGCAAAGATAGGGTCGAGTTTTTCCTGGCAGACATGAAAGTTGAACACACACACACCCCATCTCACCTCACCTACACTCACATCACCTCACAGGCACACACCCCCCATACACTCACCTCATCTTGAGTTTGTGGCTTGCTGGATACGGCATTGACTGCTTTAGTCACGGCTTGCCATGTCTTTTTATTAACTACAGCTGCCAAGTTGCCAGCAAAACTTCCAAACAGTCCTCTTTCTCTGTCTCACTTCATAAATTATGAAGTCAATTTCCTCTGTGGAAATATTCCTATTCTTCCGTCTCTTTTACAGTTGCCGTGTATATTTTTTAAATAACTTTGCTCTCACCACACTCTGAGAATGGTGCTATAGGAGATGGGTGGCTATTGGGAGATGGTGGCTAGTTCATAAATGCTTGCTTGAAGATACCTTACGTGAACCCACGAACTGCAGCAGAGCAACGATATAATATAGTTCATACTTGGACTAAGTGTGTTGTTGTACGTGCTGCTTTGGGGTTTTGAAAAGCCAACGCTGCTTCAAGTCTGGATTCAGGAACCTGTGCGTACGAACACCCCACGCACGTTTCTTGAATGCCAACTAGAGTTGTGCGTGAGGTGTTCTAAATTTTCTGCATACGTGCTCATTTCTTTTTGAATCCGGCGCTGAGATCATTAGTGCATGCTGCTATAGTTGCATGCTGGGGGTGGATTTTCTATGGGCCCGTTGCGCCTGCTAGTATTAGAAATGTCAGGCCTGAGCTTTAAAATTCGGGCATCGGACCTGCGGGCCCGTTAGGATTTTGAACCCTGTTTATCATGGTCAGGTGAAAACATTCCCCCTTCCGAGGCCTGTTTGATGCACTCGATCATCTGAGCATGATCATTGTTTTCGGCGTGTGCCAACTTCTAAGGATCCTTTTAAGTTTAGCTTCTTTGTGTCAGTCATTCCGTATTGGAATTCTCTTCCTTCATCTTTGGTAAATTGCAAATTTGCAACGTTTTCCACTGCAATCTGCAGTGTTGATTTATCGATTTGATTCACTTCTCCCTCCGTCTTCGTTATAGTCCCTAGGACTTTTGAAGACTAATATTTATGAGGTTATGAGGTAACTAACCAACCGACTAACACTCAAACTCAGAGTACAAACTAACAACTGGCTTATACCACTACCAGGCAGTGCATACGGCTCACTTTACAATCTATCTACCATATTAAATATCATATAATATACGTTTTAATAAAAGTTTATTGCATCTGATTATTGCAAATGATGATCATTTTAGGCCACTGCCGAAAGTCAGAAGATCTACAAGGAAAAATGGATGACATTGACCCTGACCATGTTGCCTTGCCACCTGACCAAAGTCCTGAAGTCCGCAGGCTATGCACAGAATTGTTTGAAAAGCTGTCCGAATACTTACAGGGGGAACTTGCAAGTACATATATATGTTATATATAATCGTACGTAAATGTTGATATAAGCATAAGTAAATTATAATTTATGTAATTATATGATTATTACGATACGTTATTTGTAGTATATGTACAATTTGCAAAATGTTTCTTTGGTATGTGGCACTTCATTTGGAAATATGACAATATATTCAAATATGTGCATCATACAAGCATGATTGTAATAATAATAGGTTTTTGTTTCTGATCCATCCAGTGACATCAGAAGACTACAGACTTCTTGAGCATATGAACAGAATCACTAAGGATAAATATGAAAATATGACAGAAGTAGCAAAACAAGTTGGTACATCACTCCATCAATTGAATGATAAGTGTGAGTTAAAAACACGGCTAGCCTAGAGCTGTAAAGATTACCATGTTATAGGCATGAGGATCATTCTGACATTCAGTGAATTTGGTAATTATTTTTAGGATCAATGTGAATCCATGGAAAATTTTATTTGGTATTCGTGGGTGGCAAAGCACTCTGAAGCCGTAGTATTTTAAAGGAAAAATGAGACTACATCAGAACACCCCTCAGCCACCATCACAGGCGATTCCCCCAACTGCCACTGCTCTAGCAAGTCAACAGTCTCAACACCACCCCCATCACCACCCCAGCCCCTCTTAGCCATAACCACCATAGCAACCATATTCCCGTCGTCCAGCATACTTGAAGTTACTTCACCGCCACATTTCCATCACTGACCAGGTTCTCCACCCCAGCAATAATAAAGTATGACATGTAATGTGATGTTTTATCATTTTCTCTCTAGATAGAAATTTAAAACCATACCTGGAGCAGATTGATCAACTGGATGCTGCAGTAACAGATTTGGAAAACACTGCTTATCAACTTGATGCTTACTCTAAAAAACTAGGTACATATTCGTGAATAAATATAAACAATGTACTTTAGGGGTGTGTAATATAGAAGTATAAGACCATATCATGAAATTGCTGTGTGTGAAAAGCAGAAGTCTATATAAGTAGAAGCATGGGATTCTAGTTGCATCATGAGCAAATGAAAGAATAAATTTGACATTTATTGATGTAAAATTTAAATGAACACAGCGAGGGAAAATGTGATAAAGTAGGTGTTATAATTCTATATTATGTAGTTCACATCTGTTAAATTTTTGGAAAATGTGGCATCAAATAATTGTAATTGATTTGTAATAATTGTACATTTCTTTTTGAAATTCTGTAGAGGCTAGGTTCAAGAGTTTAGAAAAGAAGTGAGTACATCAAAAGCCAGGAATTCTGCATTCATGCAGTGTATGAATGCAGTGTACTTCACAGTAACTTGATGTAGTACTTGAGTAAGATGATAATCACAGATAAACTTTCAAACTTGATGGAGATGCTGCCATTGCCAAACAGCCATCGGATGGTTGAGTTCCAGCGCAGAACCTTGGGAGACTATTGATAGATTTTATAATACCATGTTGCAATTGTTAGAATCATCCCTAAAGCAAACATCAATCACTGCTGTTACAAATACTGAACCTAATTTTGTCCTCCTCAAATCTGTCCTGTGAATAAGCTTGTATCGGCATCATGTGTGGAATCGGAAAAATGTAGAAGAAAATCAGCAACATAGGCAACCCTGTGTATATGGACGTCGTCACATTCTGCCTTGCATGTCTGTGAAAGGAGAAAGTTACCTGGTTTATCGAACAACGTGTTAGAGATTGTCGTCATTATGTGCGTTAACTATGCTAAAGATAGGCTTGTATACAGCAGATTTGCCCATCTATGCCCATTTTCTTTTGTTTTGATGCGATTGTTACCCACACCAACCAGGTACAATAATTGTATGTGTAGCCATGTGTGCCATGGTTGCTAAGATGTGCTTTCTCTTATAATGCGAATATTGCTTCTTGATCACATTTGTATATATTATATGTGTAAATAAATGTTGCTTTGTAATATATAATATCCGTTGTCATAGCGTTGTCCTGTAGTAATTACATCACAAGTGAGATATTTTAAATACATGTGAAATTTTGTTATATTTCTGAAGTATCTCTAGTTCTAAACTAACTAGTTTTATATGTCTGTGGTGAAAATTAGCAGATTGCTGCAACTTTGTGTTCCGATAGCTTTATGTCGTATACTTTGTGCTACAAGGCACCACTTACCGCTATAATTATTCCTCAATAATCCTGTCTTTAGTGAAACTGTGCGTGCGTGCGTGCGTGTGTTTGTTGTGTGTGTAGTGCGTGCGTGCGTGCGTACGTGCGTGGGTGTGTGGGTGTGTCTATAGCGAATTCTTAGCGAATTCTTATTATTATTATGAACATTAATTATGCTTCACATTTATCCATAGGCAGTGCATGATTATACAAGATATTATTGTATAAGGAACGATATGTTCGTTAGATAAACTGCAACAGATATGTAATATCGCATAATATTGCATTGTTCAGGAGCACTTTTACATATATACCACGCGCATAGAGCGCGCGCACGCACGCACGTAACACTGCCAGTTGCGGGCTTGTGACAGTACAGGGGAGCTATAGGAGTGCATGGTACGAGCACCTAATGCGAGCAGCGTATAGACGGAAGAAGGGACGGGGTCGGGAGATTCTCTTTGCATAAATTTTAGTGCACGTGTGTCATATCATCAGGAGTGAATAATAATAAATCAAGAGCGTATTAAGAAGGCCTTAATATACGCTCTTGAATAAATCTATCATCTAATTAATAATCTAGAAGAAAATCGATTATAATAATTTATCATCTAATAATCTAGAAGAAGATCGATCATAATAATCTATTATCAGCTAGGGCCGTAGCCTGGGGGGAGGCAAGGGGGCAGCTGCCCCCCCTAAATTTTGGAGCAAAAAAAAAAATTGTTCTACTAAAAGAGAATTGTCGTAGTCAGAATGAAGGCTGTACATGTACTCAAAAGTGCCTCAAATACCATCTCCTGCGATCTACAATTTCAAAACTTTCTGTGGGAAAGGACCCCCAGACCCTCCACTTGTTTCTCACCCCTCCTTGAAATCCTGGATCCGCCGTACTGCCCCTCCCATAGGAATTTGCTCAGCCTACGGCCCTGATTATTATTCGCTCCTGATATCATAATTATCTCTGACATGAAATGGAGAGCAAATACTTGTCGCAGTAAATTGACGAAATTAAAAAAAAATCCTGATCCCTCTATATATATATATATACAGGGGCGTGTACAGGATTTGTACCAGGGAGGTCTAAGTCTAACCGTAACCCAAACTTGCGAGCACGCGAAAGGGGGGTCAGTCTGGGGGGGGCGGCCCTCCCCCCGAATTTTTTGAAATTAGACTCCCTTAGATGCGTTTTCTGCGCGCGCCCCGCCCCCCCGCCCCCCCCCCTCCGTACACGCCCCT